TGTCTAGGTTGGTCATAACTTTCCTTCCAAGGAGTAAGCATCTTTTAATTTCATGGCTACAATCACCATCTGCAGTGACTGTGGAGCCCCCCCAAAATAAAGTCTGACACCATTTCCACTGTTTCCCCATCTATTTGCCATGAAGTGATGGGACCAGATGCCATGATCTTAGTTTTCTGAATGTTGAACTGTAAGCCAACTTTTTCACTCTCCTCTTTGACTTTCATCAAGAGGCCCTTTAGTTTCTCTTCACTCTCTGCCGTCTGTTCCCTATAAAAACAAGGAACTGGGTCACAGAAAGGCTTCTGCCCCCAGGAGCCCCACAGGGCTGCTCAGTTTCATTTTCTCTCTATTTCTTTCTCCTTTCTTCTTTCTTTCCTTCCTTCCTTCCTTCCTTTCTTCCTGGTATTATGAGAATGTTAGACTTGAGTCACATTTCTAGCTTGCCCCTCAAGCTAGGTAGTTATACCTCCAATCCATAAGACGAGAATATCAAGGAGGATAACACATGAGAAATGCATGAAGGATTTATTCAGGACTCCACCCAGCTTATCCTCTTCTGCAAGTTGTTGGACTTCCAAGTGCCAGCAGGAAGGAGAAAGTAGGGGTGGTCTTCTGCAGCTGAAGGAACCCACACATCTAAAGGGACTCCACCCTTTTCTTCCTGAGGATCAGCTAATGCGTCCCAAGTAGGCTGCCACTCAAGATGACCATTATTCACCGCTCAGTATGAAAGGACAATAGACCCACCAATCATAAACAAGTAAGAAGGAAGTGGAAATGCCTGCCTTGGACAGCAGGGATCCTGCAGGACAGTTTGTTTTTCTTGCAACTTTCATTGGCATTCTGCTGGAAATTGATAACATCTAAAGAACAACAAGGTCTAGTGGAAGAACACATTTTTCTTCCTTATCTCTTGCCAAGACACTTCCTCATTGTTCTTGCCAAAACACTTCCTCATTGTTTGGACTGAGAGTCAAGGTCATTTCTCTATTTCAAAAGCCCATCTCATAGGGCACATGCCATGCTTGTGTGAGTGTTAAATTCTTGCTTAAATTACATCTTGAGGACCAGAATTCATTCCAGCAGAAGTGATGTGCCACCTGCCACCCCCCTCCCCAAAAACCAACAACTAAGACAAAAAAAGAGGGCTTCCCTGATGGATCAGACAGTAAGGAATCTGGTTGTAGTGCAGGAGGCCAGTGTTTGGTCCCTAAGCCAGGAAGATCCCCTGGAGAAGGAAGCGGAAATCCACTCCAGTATTCTTGCCTGGAGGATTCTATGGACAGGGGAAGCTGGCTGTTGCAAAGGTTGCAATGGACAGGGAGTCTATGGGGTTGCAAAGAGTCAGACAAGACTGAATGACTAACACATACACATAAGAGAAAAAGAAGCCTCAGAAAAGTGGCAAGAATTGCCAGCTGGCGGACAGATGGAGCCAGTGCTGAAAGCCTGAAGTCTCAATCTACTTTCCATGTCCATAGTTCTGCCCTGGGAAATATGTGACTCACCTGAAATGAAGTAGTGAAAAACAAGAAGAAAGAAACAGATGAAAGGATGGGATGAGAAGAAGGTGGGAAATGAAAAAGAAGGCATTATATTTAACTTGAATGTGTTAATTTTCTAACAAAAAAAAAAAATCTAGATTTCACTCTATCTTTTTCTATTTATTTATTTATTTATTTATTTATTTATTTATTTATTTACCTTTTGCAATCCTCTTTAATGTCTGGCTGAACAGAGACAGCTGGATTCCTTGTTTTCTTAACTTTACTTAACATTGGAATATAGTTGACTATAGGGCTTACCTTGCGGCTCAGCTGGTAAAGAATACACCTGCCACGTGGAAGACCTGAGTTTGAACCCTGGGTAGGGAAGATCTCCTAAAGAAGGGAAAGGCTACCCACTCCAGTATTCTGGTCTGGAGAATTCCATGGACTGTATAGTCCATGGGGTCGCAAAGAGTCAGCCACGACTGAGCGACTTTCACTTCATAGTTGACTTAGAGTATTGTGTCAGTTTCAGGGGTACAGCAAAGTGATGCAGTTATCCATACACATACATCTGTTCTTCTTCAGATCTCTTTCCCATATAGGTTATTACAGAATATTCTGTATTTGAGTATATTAAGAATATTCTGTATATTGAGTAGAGTTCCCTGTGCTATACGATGGGTCCTTAACGATTATCTATCTTATATAGTCTAGTACTTCCCCACCACCACCTTTGCCCTTTGGTCACTATAAATTTGTTTTCTATGTCTGTGAGTGTGTTTCTGTTTTATAAATAAGTTGATTTGTATCATTTTTTTAATATTCCACATATAAGTGATATCATTAATATATTATATTTGGATCTAGAGATTGTTATATTAAGTGAAGTCAGAGTAAAGCAAATATCTCTCCACTTTTCTAATTGCATTTGATTTTAAATTCAGAGCCCTCAAGCAAAAAGTTGGCTGGGTCTCATGTAAACAAAACAAGAGCTCTCTCAGACAGATGGCTTCTCAGCTGTATTTACAGCAAGACTTTCTCTCTCCTTTGACAAGCCTGAGAACCACAGCGCAAAATATTGAGCACTTTGAACTGGCCGGTTCAAAGTGTTGGAGAGGACTCAGTGTGGAGACTTTCAAGCCACTCATGAGGATCGATTCATTCATTACCCTATTTATGTAGCCTATTGTTGCTGCTGTTGTCACCTAATCGTCCAACTCTTTGCGACCCCATGGACTGCAGCACGCCAGGCTTCCCTGTCCCTCACCGTCTCCTGGAGCTTGCTCAAACTCATGTCCACTGAGCCGGTGATGTCATCCAACCCCCTCATCCTTTGTCGTCCCCTTCTCCTCCTGCCTTCAGTCTATAGTTTTGCCTTGAGTCGCTGGCCATGAGGAAATGTATGTCCTCTTTTCAGAATCCTAGGGGATGCCAAGTTCCTTAAGATAAAAGGGCTTCTCTGTTGGCCTGCCTTAGACAAGACATACGATGCCTCTCTGAGATATTTGTTGATACAGGTTTCTTGTCTATGAAACTAGTGTGAGTCAGGAGACCTGGGCTCCAGAGTCCGCCCAGTGACAAGATAATTCTGGGACTCTGGGCAAATGGCACCAGCTCTTTGGACCTCGTATGCATTCTACTGGCTTTAACTTTTTATGGACCTCAGACCACTTGGAAAATTTGACGAAAAGTATGATAAACCTTTCCCACCCCCAGAAAAAAAAATGCACATATTTACAGAAGAAAAAAATCAGTTTTAATTTCAGAAGGTTAATGAACCCCATGAGGCCATTCAAGGACCTCTTGCATCCCCCAGGTTAAGAAACTCTTGTCCAAATGATACTTGTAGACCTCCTCAACTGCTGTAATGCATGAAATGGAGTTTAGAGAATTATTTGCAGTTAAGTAAATACTTCAGCAAATACTGTGCTTCTCGCAAGGCATTTTAATTCTTCAAAAGTGTAATAGGACTCCAGGATGCAATCCAACTACGCACATAGACTTTCATAATGAAGAATGATCAGGAATTCACTATTAAGGAAAGAAAGAGAAAGAAAATGTTTGGAAAGAGAAATGGTTGCCTTAAAAAGAATATTGTGAATATTTTCATGTTCATCTTTAAAAATAAAAATTCCAAAGCAGGTATAAAGAAAATTAACCATGGCTTTCATCACTTAAACACAAACTCTATTAAAATTTTATCATCTCTCTTCAAATCCTGTTTTCTATAATACAACCACACAAACACACACACACACACACACACTGCTTTTAAATATATCATAAGCCCCATTTTTATCCTGAAGTTTTTATGTAACTTTGAGACATTGATAAAGTACAATTTTATGCCATACTGTATATAAATAATTGCAATGAATTTCTAATTTTGCAATAGTGAATATAGCACCAAAATTTATTTAATATTTCCCACTTAGAGGGTATATAGATTGTTTCCAGTGTTTTTATATAAAGTAATGATGTACTGGACATCTTTTTACACGGAACTTGATCCAGATTTCAGGTTGTTGTCTTAGAAAAAGAAACTTCTCGATGGAATTATTGGGATAAGAATAAGAGCATTTCTTGGTTTCAAAAATAGTCAAAGCAATTTATAGTCCCATTAGCAGACTATATATTTGCCTGTTACTTCAGAGTATAAAACAAGGAGTATAAAATTTTTATTTTTGCCTAGTCTTTTGGAGGCATATTCACAGATTTTTAAAAATCTATACTAACAGAAATGTTGCCCAAACTCACTAAGAGTCACTCAATAATATTCTCTTTTTAATTCAATACAGGTCCTTGGAACAGAGAAAGGTGAACTGTTTATATTTGTTTTCTTATCCTAACACCATTAAGTGAACACCATTACGCTAAGTCCTATTTCCAGGTTAATAGCATTAGTCTTTTTTTTTTTTTTAAGAATTGGTTGTTTCAGGCCCTGGGATATATGGGCATGTGTGTGTGTGCATGATGACATGATCCAGATGGATTCAGGACCTCAGAGTATATTCCAGAGTATATTCCAGAGTCCTCTGATCTAAACAGGATGATTTAAATTGGACATGGGGTAGAGTTCTTCAGCTACAGGCTAGTGACAAGGAGGCTCGCTGTCACCCCCCAATATTTTGGAAGGATATTGCTGGCCTGCTGCTCCATAGAAGCTCTGGGTCTCTCCATCTTTGATGTCAGTCACTCACACACATCAACCCTCATGTGTGCACATGTACACACATATACACACTGCTGGTGTCACTATTGTGGAAGCATGGAATTCAATACTCGCTAGCTGGGAGGATGCTAATCTGGTGATACCTTCATGCCCACCTTTGAGATACTGTTCACCATTCACTTAAAATGATGAGTTATGTCCAGAGCCAAAGGGCCTGAGCTAGGTCCCAAAGAGTAACACAGGCAGCCTAGTTTGACAAAGCAACATTGGGTTAAGATTTCAGAGACTCACCACCAGCTGTTTTGTTTTGGACAAGTTGCATTGCTTCTGTGAGCCTCCAGTCTTCTCATTTTATATTGAGGAAGTTATACTTGAGTGGGTCCTAACCAAGAGTTTTTGGTGGAGGAGTAGGGGTCTGTTGGGAATGCTAAGTAATTTTAAAACCTAAAGGAAACTGTGCCTATTTCCTCAATAAAGCTCAGCATTCTAACTGAAACATTCAGGAGTTGTTGCCGTAGGCTTCAGTGATCATCAACACGACAATGTGACTTTGGCCAACTCATGGGGGATCTGTTGATGACCTGGAATGATTTTATGGGATGTGTGACTACTGGACCAGTCACTGACTCCAGTCACATTTTAAGTAATCATGGTCCTTCAATCAAAGGTGTCAAGTTTGTGATCAACCTTGGACACAGCACAGAGGAACAACCAAAATTAAGACACGTCAGTGTTTATGCTTCCTTAACTTTATTACTTACAACTGCAGCTAGGAGAGTGTTTTATGGGCTTTCCTATCATTGTTTTATTATGTGACCTTGGTAATTCTGGATGGCTGGTTAAAATCTATCCATGATTAAAAGAAAATAAAAAGTGATAATACCAATGAAGTGAAAGTCACTCAATCATGTCTGACTCTTAGTGACCCCATGAACCATATAGTCCACAGAATTCTCCAAGCCAGAATACTGGAGTGGGTAGCCTTTCCCTTCTCCAGGGGATCTTCCCAACCCAGGGTTCAAACCCAGGTCTCCCGCATTGCAGATGGATTCTTTACCAGCTGAGCCACAAGGAAAGCCCAAGAATACTGGAGTGGGTAGCCTATCCCTTCTCCAGTGGATCTTCCTGACCCAAGAATCGAACCAGGGTCTCCTGCATTGCAGATGGATTCTTTATCAACTGAGCTATCAGGGAAGCCCAGTAATACAAATGACATATGTAATTACTAAATAAGCTCAGTTCCTATGGTTGGCAGAACTTTTCAAAACTTGAAGATCAAAGGAATAACTGAGAAAATGAATGTCTGGTGGGAACCAGGTAGGAACCACTGGTCTACACCAGAATCCTGGGAGCTTTCCTGCTTTATCACAGGAGAGACAGGAGAATTCAGGTGTACATGGGCAAGCATCCAGCATCCCCATAACCTACATTGCTCTAAATGGTTCTTAAGTTCAACAAGTTTGCTTATGTTTTTATGTAAAATTTCATATGGATGCAGAATTCAACTTCAATCCACTTCCACTTCATACCTGTCCAAAACAAATCCTTCTAATGCAATATTCTATATTTGGTGGAAGTTTAAGAATGAGTTCTAGATTTAATATTTTTGAAAATATTAACTATTCAACATTAAAGCAATTTTTATAGCCTCAAGGACAAGCTACTCCCAGGACCCAGGGTTTTGTAGAATATATGGGTTACAGTTTCCACTAACCACCAACTGCTCACTCCTAACAATAGAGATTACTTGGATGAAATTACAGCCATTTCAAAAGACCCCTACTGGTCCCCAATCATTTTCCTTTTACAACCTGACCAAATTCTGTGATGCCTTTGCACAGTTCCTTATCACCAGATGAAGCCTGAAGCACCTCATCTGCCACAAAACCAAAGTCCTCAAGAGATTCCTTTTGCAGTTACCAGGTAAGGACCCAGGAATCCCTGGCTGGGTCCCAGCTTGGGGGTCAGCCCTGTGTTGCCTGGGATAATGACTCACGGGGTCTCCTAAAAAAGACTCTCTGGCCTTCGATAATGAAGCCCAGTGACAAGGTCCCAAGGAAACCCGTGAATTATAGTTGTTGTTGAAGTTAATAGGATTTAAATTGGCCATGGGGTAGAAGTCTTTTTTTCAGCTACAGGCATTGTTCCTCTTGACTTTATAAGTGACTGTGCATTGGAGACAATATTTGAAGACACGGGTATTCACTAGGTAGGATTAACTGGCATGGCAGCTAATCCACCTGGGAAGAAAAGTTGACATTTCTAACCAGTCTCAGTGGATGACCGCACAGAAGCTGACAGTCACTTTGGAACAGCACTTTATAAATGAGCAGGGGTTGAAAATGCCATTATCTGAGTAAATACTTGCCTGATTAGGTTATTGTGACAACTGTCATCCCAACAGAAGCGTCGAGGAAGCTAATGAGGCTGGTGATTCATTGGCTGAGGTCACATTAGCAGTAGTTTCCTTAACATCCCGAGTCTCTAAAATTAGTACTACCAGGCCCTCCTGTCTGCAGTCTGGCCAGTGGCTCCAGCTCAGTTCCGGCCACTCTCCACTGCTGCTAACAAAGGACATTTGCATGTGCTATTCCTCTTCCTGTAACACTTCCCCCCACCCCTCACATTTCTGTCTCTCCACCATCTCTCTATTTGGGAAACTTCTCTTGGTTCAGCAGACCCCAGCTCAAAGCCACCCTGAATCCAAGAAGTAGTTCTTTCCCATTCCCCAGAGGGAATAAATGAGGCCCAGGGAGGCTGAGTCCCTTACTGCTGAAATCAAGTCCAGCTTCACTCTTCAGTAACCCATCGCATCTACACTGATTTGATTCTGAAAATGCAGCCCATGAATCTTGACTGTCCTTGGTGCCTGTCCAGAGTTAAGATGCTCTTTTATTATTTAATAAATATTTACACGGCATGTACTCTGTTTGTGGTGGAATAGAGTACTGCTTAGGAGGGAGTCCCTGAAATCAGACTGCCTGGCTTCCTCACTAACAAACCATGTGACCTTGGGCATCTTCACTCACCCTGTTCAACATGCCCACGTGCCCACTAACCACCAGCTTTCAATGCCATTGCCAGCTGCTGTATGTCAGGGGCGTTGTCTCCACCTGGCATTCGTTTTCCTGCCATCACTTTCTTGTGCTATTTCACACCTTTGGTAACTTTGTTCTCACTCTTTAGTGTGTGGGCTTCATTCTCTTATTAGACTGTTTTCTGTTTAAGGCCCAACCTGACACAAAACCCTTGCCCACATAACAAATAGAAACTCTTTCCAATGTAATTGTCTAAAAGGAAACAAAAAATCATCACATTATAGTGAAAAGATCATGAGGTTTCAGTTGGACCCACATCTGCAGTAGTTGTTGTTTAACGTGACTTGGATTCTTTTGTGTGTTTAATTAATTAATTGAACAACATCTCCTGATTTGGGGGGCCTCCCTCATAGCTTGGCAAAGAATCTGCCTGCAATGCAGGAGACTTGGGTTCGATTCCTTGGTAGGAAAGATCCCCTAGAGAAGGAAATGGCAACCCACTCAAGTATTTCTTTGAATCCCATGGACAGAGGAGCCTGGTGGGCTGCAGTCCATGGGGTTGCAAGAGTCAGACACGACTGAGTGACTTCCACTCACTTACTCACTCCTGATTTTTCTTTCTCTCTTAACTGACTGCACCTTCTAAGTCTCCTTTTTCCCAAACTGACCTGTAATATTGGTATTCCTCAGACCTTTCTGAGGACCTTTTTTCTCTTGGTAAGAGTATAGGCAGTTTATCCATCCTCACGGTGTCAAATATCAATTCTATATTGATCATTACTAAATCTCTGTCTTCTGCCCCAATCACCCTTTTTAGCCCCAGACCCATGTCCAGTTACCCAATGAGCCGTTTTCCTTGAATCAGTGACAGGCATCTCAAATTCAATGTTGGAAACTGAACTGATTTATACTTTCGTTCCAGACCCACACTACCCTCTTATAAACTTTCTCACCTCAATAAATGGTATACTCTCTTTCCCATCTTCACTCTTCCCATCCTGTTTATTAACAGCCCCCTAATTCTCAAATCTCAACTCATAACAGGTCTTTTTTTTCCTCAATACACCTTTATTTATTTTTTCTTTTTTTTTCCCATTTATTTTTATTAGTTGGAGGCTAATTATTTTACATCATTGCAGTGGTTTTTGTCATACATTGAAATGAATTAGCCATGGATTTACATGTATTCCCCATCCCGGTCCCCCCTCCCACCTCCCTCTCCACCCGATCCCTCTGGGTCTTCCCAGTGCACCAGGCCCGAGCACTTGTCTCATGCACTCAACCATAACAGGTCTTGAATCTGTCCTTTCCTTAGCTCCCAGGAAAACTTTCTTGAGAACCAAACCAATTTTGTCTAGAGTAAGTGACATTCTTTTGCTATGCTCACCTCTATGGTGGTGTTTACCCCATATTGTGATTGTGGTATAATTATGTCTTCCCTTCAAAAATGAAGGTGCTTCAGGGCAGAAGCCATGTCTTATTCATTTGATACCTCCCAAAACATGCAATGTACTTAGTAAGCACTCAGTGTTTATAAAATGAAAGAACTATCAATTCTGTTTTAGTTCAGGAGTTTTTTTCTTCTATTTTTATAAACTTTGTACTTGACACCAAGAATATCTTCAGAGGATATTACTCTTCTCTCAACATTTTCTAAAAATCTTGAAAAATTAGGGCAGTGAAATTTTGCTATCCAAGATTTTTAAATTAATATATTACATATAGTTGCTGAGTCCAGTCCAACGTTTTTGCAACCCCCTGGTGGACTGTAGCCCGCCAGGCTCTTCTGTTTATCGGATTTCCCAGGCAAGAATACTGGAGTGGGTTGCCATTTCCTTCTCCAGGGAATCTTCCCAACCCAGGGCTCAAACCTGTGTCTCCTGCATTGGCAGGCAGATTCTTTACCACTGAGCCACAGGGATTGCCCTGGGTCTCTGCTGCTGTGTGCGGGCTCTCTCTAGTTGCCGTGAGCGGAGGCTGCTCTTCATTCTGATGCATTGGCTTCTTGTTGCAGTGGCTTCTCTTGTTGTGGGGCGTGGGCTCTAGGCACACAGGCTTCAGTAGTTGCAACTCCCAGGTTGCACAGGGAGCAACTGAGCACAGGGTCAAGAGTTGTGGTGCACGGGCTTTAGTTGCCCTGAAGCATGTAGAATCTTCTTGGACCAGGGGTGGAATCCATGTCCCCAGCACTGGCAGGCTGATTCTTATCCAGGCAGTGGCTTATCCACTGCCTGGATAAGAATCAGGGAAGCCCTCCATGATTTTTTCCCTAGACATTTAACAAAATTTTACACTGACTCATAGTAAAGGGACCGTGAATCGAAGGCTTAGATAGCAAAAGAAGCCTGACCAGTGATGACAGCACAATGTGGTGGTCCAATGATATAATGGCATTTCTGTCTATGAAGCAAGTCATAAGACTCCAGGCTTCCACGGAAATAACAAAAACCAGATATGCATTCAGTTGATTTCATCACTGCTGGTAAAGGGATGAATTTTGCTGAATTAACCCAGAGGCTTTATTCAATTGCACGATCATGGCATAGAACACGCTCCATGTAATTAGATTTAACTTCAGCAATACCTAGAGTTTATAATGAGGATGCTGACCACAATACAAAATGAACCAGAAAATTAGCGCTGAGTGTTACCTAAAGCTAAACGTTAAGTAAAGTGCTAAATTAAGCTGCTGGTAAATAGTCTTGGTAACATTGTTACTGTGTTTAGAAATGCATATTATTTTACTGTCTTTTATTATATTTTTATAATCCTTTTTTCTTTATGGATTTCCTTCCTTTACACACAGTTTTCTTACCTAGCTCACATTTTAAGAGGAAATGAAATAATTTCTATGCCCTTCTTCCTTGCTGTGCATGACTCACCCTCAATTGGTAAGCAATTATTAATACTACAGAGTAGGAGCTGTAGTGTTTTCTACAGTGACCATATCTACAAGGCAAGTCTGGAGTCATGGCTTCCAAAGTAAAGGATTACAATGCATGTTCATTGAAGTGACATGAAAAGAACATACATGAGTCAGTCAATTTGTTCCACATCTAATGTCAGTCTGTCTTGAGAAAGGAAAGAACCAGCCTCCTACACCTTACAAAACAGATGATTCTTCTAACTCATCCAGTAAACCATGAAGTGCTCTGTAAATATGATTTAGACCATGAGTACTGACCCAGCTAAACTAGAAATACTAACATTCTTTCAATTGTGATATTTCCTTTAGCTCTTCATTCATGACACGCAACCCAACTGTGCAAAACCGAGGTAAGAACTCTTTACCTAAGAATTATAAAACAAACAGGTAAGTCAGGACACTATGATATTCCTGCACCATGAATTAGCTTTTGTGAAACTAAGAGTCCCTCAGCTGATGCATGTAGATGTAATTCTCTGGTTTTCATTGATAGGTGGCATTGTATTGTGTTAATATCACATAAATTTTATCCACAATTAAATATGATCACTTAGGTGGTTTCCAGCTTTTTCCTCTTATGAACATTAGTTGTGAGCAGTATTGTAGATGCTTTCCCTTGTATATAACATGTACATATTTTCCCAAGTACATAATAGGATACGTTCTCCTTTTAAGAGGAAAATGGCCACATCTTAGAATATTCCTCTCTTCAGTGACACTAGATGGTGGTAGCTTAGTTGCTAAGTCAGCTCTGACTCTTGAGACCCTATGGACTATAGCCCACCAGGGATTTCTCAGGTAAGAACACTGGAGTGGCTTTCCACTTTCTTCTCCAGGGTATCTTCCTGACCCACGGATTGAACAATGTCTCCTGCATTGCAGGAGGATTCTTTACCACTGAACCACCAGGGAAGCCCAACCCTAGATGTGTTTTCCAAATTAGACAAATCACTTTGTTTAACCAACAGCTTATGAGAGCCCATTGTTTCCCATCCTCTCCAACAGTTGTTTCTTGACAAACCTTTAGTTTTTGCCATTCCATTGACTGTAAAACACATTTATCTTAAAAAGAGTCTGTGAAATAGAGAAAATAAAAACCAACCTCTCTTACTAATTCATTGAAAAGATAAAAATCAGAAGGATACCATGTCCATGGAGATGTCAAAAGTAGCCTATAAATATAGTGTTATATTACTCTTGGTGATAGGTTTTGATATTGTTAGTATTATTTGGCCAAACTAGACATGTCGTGTTCTTTTGTCTTTCTTTCTTCACCCCCTATGCCATAGAGATTCTATGTCCAGGCCTAATCTTTCAGTCTCTCTGTGCTGAGCCACAGAATGGTGGCTGGACCCCATGGGATGGAGTGGGAAGACTGATGCTCTGCTGACCTGAATCCCACTTCTGCCTCTTGGAGCTTTACCGTCCTCCATCCGTAAAATTCAAATACTACTAACTAACAGGGTTGATACACACACACACACGCAGCCAGCCCTCTGCTTAGCACATTGTGGGAAATTGACACATTTTAATATCCTTCCTTCTTTTTTGCATTTCCTTTCCATCTCTGGCAATTCTCTACCTATATGATCCAGTGAGACTAAGAGATTCCTCCATAGCCTCCATCATGTCTTTATTTCTCTTCTGCCCTACACCATCTGGGCCTTACATGGGGAAACCAATATGGAAAACTCATTATCCCCAGATGCATGCATCACTAATAAGAGTTTCCCAAGAGAGGACTCCTTTTCTAAAGGAGGATGGCCACATGGCTCAATTCCTAGAAATTGAATGACAGAAATGGCAGTCTTGGAGGCCAGATCTTGGTGTATGAAAACAAAAAGACTTGGGAGATCCAGGTGAAAGGTCCACGGGCTGGATGGACCAGGAAGGGCTTTACAGATGGGGGTTTTGAAATTGGAATTATTGCAGATAGATTAAATAGGATTCCAGAGTCTTGACTTGAAAGACAAAATCTTGAACACATAAAAAAATAAAGAGCAGTTGAAGAATGGAACAGTAGTGTTAGTGAAGTAGAAAGCCTTCAAAGACATGAGTCCAGTCAAGCATCCTTTGACTAGGAGTATATCATTCATACTGGGGTTATGTAGACTGTTCTCTAATCATCTTAGAAGAAACAGGTTTGCTTAAAGAAACATCCTTGGATGGACAGGGAAAATGTTTTTGTCTCCAATGCCTTCAAACACCATCAATTCCTCTTTTGGGCAAGAAATATCCACCAAGCACGTGGTTTATGCCCCAAATTGGGCTGGGCCTTAAGAATGCAGAATAGAAACAGCCTTATCCTTTAACTGACCAGTGCCTGAACTTTTCCATCAATTTATTCAGTGATTCATCCTCCTGGGTAAAAATTCACCCTTGGGTCACCAGCGCTTGGCAGAAATTAGGTGCACAGAAAACAGTACACAATCTGGTCATGTGTAGAGCGCTGAGTCTAGCGGGCTCTCTAAAGTTTGCTAGTTTTAAGTTGGATGTCTCAGGTGAGGGAGACAGTGTTCTACATGTAGAAGACTGAAACCTACTTCTCCATCAATGTAGGTATCATCATCCTAATTTAACAAATGAGAAAAGATTTTGAAAATATAGTTAGGCTTCTCTTTAAGGACGGTCCTTTATTTTACTTATATTTATTTTTAAGGAGTATAATTGCTTTACAACACTGTGTTAGTTTCTGCTATACAACAATGTGAATCAGCTATATGTAAACATACATCCCCTCCTTCCTGGTCTTCCCTTCCACCCCACCATCCCACTCCTCTAGCTCACCGCAGAGCACGGAGCTGAGTGAGTTCCCCGTGCTACGCAGCAGCTTCCCATTAGCTAGCTATTTCATACAGGGTAGCGTATATATGTCAATTCTACCACATGCCCATTTACAGTTATTCTTGACTGTTCAGTTACTAGTGAATAAATAGGTTGTTCTCAATTTTCTGATAAATGAATTCAAGCTAAACTGTTGGGAGCCTAAGTAGATGGATCTCCAGAAAAAAAAGAAAATTATTTTGATGTATTGGAAGAGAAACCTGAAAGTTTGGGTTATAACTAAAAAATATTAACTTTTGAGATGTTGGATGATTTCTTTTCTTCTTTATTTCAGTTTTTGTCCACTAAAGTTTTCTTTTTCTATCTGCAGTTTATAAAATTTTTGTCATATATGACTTTTTTCTTAGAATTTTTTTAAAATTTTATATAGGGTAAACTTGAAATAGAGACAATACTTTGTCAACAAAGGTCCGTCTAGTCAAGGCTATGGTTTTTCCAGTGGTCATGTATGGATGTGAGAGTTGGACTATAAAGAAAGCTGAGCAGTGAAGAATTGATGCTTGTGAACTATGGTGTTGGAGAAGACTCTTGAGAATCTTCTGCAAGGAGATCCAACCAGTCCATCCTAAAGGAGATCAGTCCTGGGTGTTCATTGGAAGGACTGATGTTGAAGTTGAAACTCCAGTACTTTGGCCACCTGATGTGAAGAGCTGCCTCATTTAAAAAGATCCTGATGTTGGGAAAGATTGAAGGCAGGAAGAGCAGGGGATGACAGAGGATGAAATGGTTAGATGGCATCACCAACTCAATGGACATGAGTTTGGGTAAACTCCGGGAGTTGGTGATGGACAGGGAGGCCTGGCATTCTGCAGTTCATGGGGTCACAAGGGGTTGGACACAACTGAGCGACTGAACTGAACTGAAAGTTAAAATTTGCTAATAAATAGGTATGGAGAGCTGCTTAAAATTAAATGGTTTTATTATGTTTCAAGAAAAGCTCTAGAGCTGTTTCTTTATTAACACTGTAACATTAGTAGTAGCATTCATTGAGTGACTAGTATGGTTCAGGCACTGTGCTAAGAGCTTTATATACATAAGCCTTTTAAAATATTAGTAATTATTCATATCAATATGGTTCCATCAGTAAGTGTTGGTATCAGTATCGTTCTACTGATATCAGCTTTTAAATATTAGTAATTATTGATATCAGTATGATAACAGTATGTTTTATCCATACTATTTTCATTAGACTATCCTAATTTTCTTGACCACTTACACATATTATCCCCAATGTTCTTCCATTTACTCTGTGTCACTTCTTTATTAAATATATACACATATACACACATATACATATATACATATATATTTGGTTGCACAAATCGTTGTGAACGATTCACGTTGTGAACAACACCCTGAACTCTTACTTGCAGCACACAGTTTTCTGACCAGGGATCGAACCCTGGTCTCCTGCATTGGGAGCAGAGTCTTAGCCACTGGACCAGCAGAGAAGTCCTCAATCTCTTTATTAATGTGACTCTCCATTCTCCAGGTAGGAGAGTCCTATTTCCTGGGATTATAAAACTTAAATGCAGGGTTTTATGTAAAGCTTCCCAAAGATTACCACCATTACTTTAGAACAAAGTCAACTAAATTCTTGTAGTGGAACTACATACTGGGGATTTCATTCGTTTATTAAGCAAAGATCCATCCAGGACTTCTGGTGAAATCACATGGCAAAGTTTTTTTTGTTTGTTTGTTTTGTTTAACTCCTTCTTTGAATAGACGACAGATGCACAGAGCTATTTCCAAATGCTCTTTTTCATGTACGATTCTTAAAAATTCAAACAAGGCACTCCGAGTTGAAATACAATAAATCAGTTGCCACAATATCATGAAAAATTCATAATCACTGAGCACATGTATGCTACACAAACTGATAGGGAATGCTGATAACAGTTATTTTCTTCTCTCAAGAACGTTCTTACTGTTTCGATCCATGATGAAAAGATAGTTATGGCTATTTAAATAATAAGTCTTATTGTCCTGCTTCATTAAAATGTAAAATACTGTTGGTAAAGTCATTTTTTTAAATATTTCCTTAGCTCTCTTAGCTCTCTCTTGGTTAGGATTTGCTTGGTTCTGACTCCTTTCATTAATGATCTCTCTGTGTCATATTTCAGACACATAATTAGCACAGAACTGGACTTTTTAAACAAATAAGCATCTGGTTTTTAAATGCAAAATTTAAACCATTGATATTTATTGTAATTACTAATATTTTTGAATCAACTTTTATATTATGTTGTGCCTCCTACTTGCCTTTTTTATTGATTTTTTTCCTGCCATATATTGAATTCATCTCTTTTTTATTCCCTTTTCTCTTTCTAGAAAGTTATATATACATTCAAATTCTATTCTTCCATTGCTTACCTTCAGCATTTAGCTAAATAAACAAATAGCATGCTCGAATTTTAGAACAACTCTGAAGTTCATATCCTCTTTTCAACAATACAGAAAACATATGATGCTTTTGTTCTGATGATGTGGATTCTGCACTGTGTCTGAAAGTAGAGCTTTTAGCCTTATAAAATAAAACTGGAAAAGACAGATGTCTTTATCATTATTCCTATTTTTAGTTGTAAATTGGTGAGTGAAATTAACTTACCATAATGAATGTAATTTAAACTTTAAGTGATCAAATGCTTTTCTACAACAAACATTTGACACATGTATTCCCTATATTCTCAGACTCCACATTAAAAGTCACAATCCTCGGAACCCTCAAAATAGAACTTTCAATGTTTCAGGAGTACTCTGCTCTTCTTAGTAAACTTATAGAGAAATCTGACATTTTGATGACAAAAAAGAAACAGAATAAATACACATATAACTTAAATGTTATGGTAACTGGCATATAAATGTTTGCTAATGTTTTATTTAGCACCTTGCCTTAAAAAACATAGTGTGTGAGAAGTATTCCACTCTTTCAAAGTTCTTGTTAAGCTACTGACCAGAATTATAACCTTTGTTTTCTAGACTGAAGTAAGACTAAATAACTTATATTTATGCCTTCACATTAATAACTCCTTTTCCATTTTATATGTTATCATTATCCATAATTTGATTATGATGCTGTTTTCATGCTTTCAATGATTTGTTGTTGGGGTCCTTTAATGGGCTGGAACCTGGTGGTACGGAGTCGACGATAAGAAAGTAAAAGAGAGAGAGAGAGACAAAAAAAGACCCAGGACCTAAGCTCTGATGGAGCAAAGGTGCTTTAATGATTTTTCTATGAGTATATACAGGCTGTGGTACAAGAAACTTCTTTCGGGAATGATAGAGATCAGAAAACCAAATGTACAGCAACCGTTACCAAGGGAACAAGGGGTGATGTTACTCACAAGGTCAGGAGACAATCCATATCTCAAGAAAGGGGCACAAGACTAAGCAGTTTTGTCCTAAAGAGAATGTTTACTAAAGGAGACCCAAGCCTGCCTCACACAATGACCTCAGTCCCTGGGAGCAGCGTGCTGTCCGCTTGAAGAGGGACAGAAGATTCATGAGAGACGGCACGTAGGAATCCTCCCATCAAACACTCCCTGACAATTTGTCATTTTTATAAAGTTAATTCTTGCTTAAAATTACTAACATATTTATAAATATCTTTGTTAAGCACTCCTTCTAACAACTGACTTCTTCCTTGTGACCTTCAGTCAGTTCAGTTCAGTCACTCAGTCGTGTCCGACTCTGCCACCCCATGAACTGCAGCACACCAGCCCTCCCTGTCCATTACCAACTCCTGGAGCTTACCCAAACCGATGTCCATTGAGTCGGTGATGCCATCCAACCACCTCATCCTCGTCCCCTTCTCCTCATGCCGCCTTCAATCTTTCCCAGCATCAGGGTCTTTTCAAATGAGTCAGCTCTTCACATCAGGTGGCCAAAGTATTGGAGTTTCTGCTTCAACATCAGTCCTTCCAATGAACACCCAGGACTCATCTCCTTTAGGATGGACTGATTGGATCTCCTTGCAGTCCAAGGGACTCTCAAGAGTCTTCTCCAACACCACAATTCAAAAGCATCAATTCTTCGGTGCTCAGCTTTCTTTACAGTCCAACTCTCACATCCATACATGACTACTGGAAAAACCATAGCCTTGACAGGACAGACCTTTGTTGGCAAAGTAATGTCTCTGCTTTTTAATATGCTATCTAGGTCAGTCATAACTTTTCTTCCAAGGAGCAAGCGTCTTTTAATTTCATGCTGCAGTCACAATCTGCAGTGATTTTGGAGCCCCAAAAATAAAGCCTGTCACTGTTTCCACTGTTTCCCCATCTATTTGCCACAAAGTGATAGGACCAGATGCCATGATCTTAGTTTTCTGAATGCTGAGTTTTAAGCCAACTTTTTCACTCTCCTCTTTCACTTTCATCAAGAGGCTCTTTAGTTCTTCACTTTCTGCCATAAATGTGGGGTCATCTGAATGTCTGAGGTTATTGATATTGCCTTGTGACCTTAATTTCTTAAAATTCATTTCTATTAGTGTTTACTGGAGTGACACAGTGAAAATATGTTATTTTTATTGAAGTAGAGAATACACCACATCAAAACTTGACAAAGTGGTAGTATCTTAAAGCTTAGGTACCATGTGAAATCAAAACCCTTTCAATGAATTTTTTGTATTCTGTTACTATGAAATCCATTGATCTATCTTCCCTTTTAAAGACTCCTACCCAGGCATGATTTTGTAGCACCATATATGAGTCACTGGAAAACAGTGATTCACAGACTTGAGCAGATCTTTCCCACATTAACATATTTTATTATATAATATTTTAAAAATCACATTTGTAAGTAATGCCTCCAATCTCACCAGAAAAGTCCAACTGTGGATATGCTATTAAGTCACTGTGGCAGATGCAAGTTTTCCCAAACTCCAGTTTGCACTTCAAAAGTCTAATTTTAAACTTGGCCACAAATACTGCCAGTTGTTTTCCATTAAGTGACAGGCTCACTTTGTTCATTTTTAGTAAAGTATCTGCCAAGTACCCAAGTCTGAATAACCGTAATTTGTCTATTAGTCATTCTTTCAGGTTATAAAAGATGATCCATTAAAACAAAAAGTTATTCTTTTGCATTTTAAAACAAACGGCGTTTTCTGAGTTGGAAACAAGCTTGGCTTGTTTAAGAAACTCAGCAGAGTTCTTCACAGCCAGGACAGCATGGTCAACGGAGGATGGATGAAGAAATAAGAAGAGAAAGATTATACAGGACCTTATTGACAGAAGTTTAAATATTTGGATTTTCTTCCAGGTCATCATGGACGGATGTGTACCAGGGGTGTAGTAAAGTCAGAATTACATTTTTTGAAGGTGACTCCAAATGCCCTAGGGAGACAGGGACAAAATCTGAAGCAAGAGAACAGTCCAGAGGAGGCTGCTCTCAAGAGTGAGATGATGGTGGTAGAGATCAAGTTGCCATAGACCCCGGAGGGAGTGATGGGTTCCAGCATAGTCATATTTAAATGTGAATTTATTTTTCCCAGATCATAAAGAAAGCATGCCATCCTATGCTCCTCAGAGATGTCAGTCTCCAGCCGGCTCTGGCCCTCAGGAAAATCCACTACTTCATAAAATCACGAGCAGGAGGAAACCTTTCCCCACAAGGTCTGATGGCAAGGTAAAACAGACACTTCCTACAGCACTTTTCTAGATGACCTTAGCACCTAAATAGGGCTTCCCTGGTGGCTCAGTAGTAAAGAATCCATCTGCAATGCAGGAGATGCAGGTTCGCTCTCTGGGTCGGGAAGATCCCCTGGAGAATGGAATGGCAACCCACTCTAGTATTCTTGCCTGGAGAATCCCATGGACAGAGGAGCCGGTGGGCTACGGTCCATGGGATCACAGAGTTGGACATGACTGAAGCAACTGAGCATGCTCACATAGCACCTAAAGAGAGCTTTCTTGAACAATGCCTAAAAAGGAGATCATTACAATTCGCTCTGAGATTTCTCCCTTCTGGCTATATATTATTGGGGGTTAATATTTTTTAAAATATGTTGCTATATAACATTGCATCTTGCGATTTCACTAAATTCTTCAACTTGCATACTTCCATATTCTAAAAGTGCTTTTCTTTAAATTAATCCAAAAAATAGAGATATTTAGAACTGTGTTGTATGTGTTTTGGTTGTTCAGTAGTGTTTTAAAATTGATGAAGATTTATATATTGCAACTGTTTTTCCAACAAAAGAGTCACAAGCTGTATGCTCATTTCATTTGAACAGTTCAGCAAGCATTTACTGAGCACTCATTCTATACCAGACAACATGCTAGAAGTTATGGTCTCTGCCCCAGGGGAGATATAAAGAGGGGCAGAGATGCAAACAGATGTAATAGTAGATGGATTCTTGCTTGTCCTTCACCTATTTCCTGCTTTCTTTCTAAAATATTCTCTGTTCCTACAACCAGTTCTTCTCAGGTCGTGCTGCACTTATACTCACCTATATGGGGGGATAAAGCTTTCTTTTAGCTTCTACCCTTTTCCATCCATCATGTTGCAACATTACTTATTAAAGTCTTCCATGATAAGGCACAGAAGGACATGTTCCATCCACGTCTCCATTCCATAGCCTCATAGGCTAAGAGTTCTGCTACAGAGCTTGCTGAAGATTTTAAGCAGGAGCAGAGCACATAGAATCTCTCTAGTCAGTTCCGTTCAGTTCAGTTCAGTCGCTCAGTCATGTCCTACTCTTCGTGACCTCATGGACTGCAGCACGCCAGGCTTCCCTGTCCATCACCAACTCCCAGAGATTGCTCACTCATGTCCATCGAATTGGTGATGCCATCCACCCATCTCATCTCCTGTCGTCTCCTTCTCCTGGGGACCAATCTTCCTGGCAAAGATTAAACATCTTTCCCAGCATCAGAGTCTTTTCTTTTTTTTTTTTTTACATTTTTTTTCCCCATTTATTTTTATTAGTTGGAGGCTAATTACTTTACATCATTACAGTAGTTTTTGTCATACATTGAAATGAATTAGCCATGGATTTACATGTGTTAGAGTCTTTTCTAAAGAATCAGTTCTTCACATCAGGTGGCCAAAGTATTGGAGTTTCAGCTTCCACATCTGTCCTTCCAATGAATATTCTGGACTGATTTCCTTTAGGATTGACTGGTTTGATCTGCTTGTTGCCCAAGGGACTCTCAAGAGTCTTCTCCAACACTACACTTAAAAGCATCAATTCTTCAGTGCTCAGCCTTCTTCACAGTCCAACTCTCACATCCATACGTGACTACTGGAACAATTGCTCATATTCCTGCAATGTTCCAAGTGCCATTGGTTGTCCTTATATTTGGTGTTAATTTTGACCTTAATTCTAAAAGAAGTATCATACTCTTAAATTTGACTTTGCACATAGTTTGCACATGGTATGTGCATAGAAATGTTTGTGCATAGTTCTTATATTGCCCCATCTTACATACCTGGCTTCCTTTTCATCATCTTCATAAGCACTGCAATCCCAGAAACCTACCTAGGTATCTGTCCAAAAATTACACCTCTCCCAGAACCTGGATTCTTCAGGCATGGGAGAGGCTTGCACTAAACCAGGATTTCCCTGATTTCAACTATTTGAATGCATGTTTATGATCTGTGGCCTATCTGTATATTATCTATAATAATGTTATACTTTTTTTTCATTTTACATCACTGCTTTATTAAACCAGCATTACATACATAGAAAGTAATCTTAAAACTAACCATGGCATTCTACTTCTAGGTATACACCCAAAGAAATGAAAGCAGGGAGTTGAACAAAATTTTGTACACTCATGTTGACAGCAGCATTATTTACAACAGCTGTGAAGTACAAACAGCCCAAATGTTTATTAACAAATAAATGGATAAATGAAATATAGTAACATTGCTCAGCTGTAAAAAGAAATGAAATCCTGACACGTTACAAAATAGATGAACCTTAAAAACATAACACCAAGTGAAATAAGCCAGACACAAAAAGACCAGGATAGAGTCTACTTGCAGAATAAGTAAATTCATAGAATCAGAAAGCAGAATGGTGGCTCCCAGAGGAGTTCTTGTTGAACGTGTAGAGTGTTTCAGTTCGGTATGATGAAGACGTTTTGGAGCTGAATAGTGTGATGGCTGCGAAGCCCTGTGAATGTGCTCAATGTCATTGCATTGTACACTTGAAAATGGTTACATGGTAAATCTTCTGTTCTGTATAGGGGCTTTTCGGGTGGCACAGTGGTAAAGAATCTACCTTCCAATGCAGGAGATGCAAGAGACTTGGGTTCCATCCCTGCATCGGAAAGATCTCCTGAAGTAGGAAGCAGCAACTCACTCCAGTATTGTTGCCTATGAGATCCCATGGACTGTAGCCCACTAGGCTCCTCTGACCATGGGGTCACAAAGAGTCAGAAATAACAGAGGACATACACATGGTGTGTATATTTTATCACATCTTTAAAAAAAATTATTTTAGCTCAAATGAAATAAGGCTATTATATTGTAGTGAGATGCCAGAACTCACTAATGGACCTCAGCATAAGGAGAGATTAGGGATGCCAGAACAAGAGACTTCCCTGGTGGTCCAGGGTTTAAGACTCTGCACTTCCAATGCAGGGGGCACAGGTTTGATCTTTGGTTCGGGAACTAGGGTCCCACATGCTTTGCAGCATGGCCAAAAAATAATTAAATAGATACATAAAAATAAATAAATACAATCCATCCGTTAAAAAATCAAGATATTTTTAAAAATAAAAGAAATGTCATAGTGATATTAAGCACCAAAATATTAAGCATCCCTGTTGGATTATGCAGAGGACTGGAAAGAAAAGTGAAAGGGGCCCATCTCTCCCTCCAGGTCATTCAAAATTGCCTCACACTGTGTTTGAACAGCACCTAAACACACCAGCTCACACTCATGATCACACCTGGAGAACTACAGAGTTACGAAATCTCTAATAGCCGTTCCCTTCTCCAGGGGATCTTCCCAACCCAGGAATCAAACCCGGGTCTCCCACGTTGCAGGAGGATTCTTTCCCAGCTGAGCCACCAGGGGAGCCCAAGAATACTGGAGCGGGCAGCCTGTCCCTTCTCCAGGGGATCTTCCCAACCCAGGAATCAAACCAGGGTTTCCTGCATTGCAGGCAGATTCTTTACCAGCTGAGCCCCCAGGGAAGAATTAGCTCCAGCTTCAACAGACAACATCAGAGTAGAAACAGCACAGCGTCGCTGAGCCCTGCCAGGCTCCTGGGGTGGCAGAGGAGCCCCCCAGAAGCAGCAGGCCTTTCTCAGCACAGAGAGCTCCCTCTTCCTCAGGGAAGTGGGCTCTGGGCTGCCCTTTGTTCTGAAACCTGGTACCTGACTTTGCTGGAGGGGAGCAGGTCCCACTTCTGGACCTTCCAGCACACATCCGCCCCTGGCAGTAGGGACTAGGAAAAGGGGTTCACTCTGAAAGATGCCTCAAGCAAGAGGTGACTCTGCCCCCCAGCTCCATGTAAGACAATGGCAGAACCAGGGAGGAGGAGGAGGCGAGAGGAGCCAAAGAGATCCCAGGCAGCAGGGCTAGCTCGTGCCAAGCCATGAAGCTGTGTGTGTCCAGGCAAGAGCAAACAGCAGGCTGGCCAGCTGCAGTGGGGGACAGGGGTGGTGGGGGCAAAAAGTGAAGCTGGAGAGTTGGGGGGAAGCTGGCCCATGCCTTTCCCAGTGATGCTCGCACGTGCTTGACGAACGCTGATCATCGCAAGATCAGGTTTGCGCTGGGAGGACCAGGGACTTTGAAGACCAAAAACCTGATGTCACATCCCTTGTTGTTGCCGCTTGGAACAGTGACTTCCCGAGCCTCCACGGTCCTGGCTGTCTGCCCCACAGGGTTCTTGTGGCCATGGACTGGGATAAGAATGAGGGAGGGCCTTGGTGATGTTGGACTCATGAAAAGGGTTATTTAATATGATTATCCTTGGAACTCAGTAAAGGAATTGCAGATCCATGGCACATCTCCCTGATTGCCCTAGCTTCTCTCTGCTGTGACGGATTTGATAATCAAAAGAAATAAATTTCTGTAAGTATGATACCATGGCACAGAAAGAAAGCCAGACAGACTAGGGTTCAAATCCCAGTCCTACCACAGGTGACTTTAGGCAATTGACATAAAGATGCTCTCAGGACTTCCCTGGTAGTCCAGTGGTTGAGAGTCTGCCTGCCAATGCAGGAGACATGGGTTTGATCCCTGATCCGGGAGGATTCCACAGGCCGCAGGGCAGCTAAGCCCATGTGCCACAGCTACTGAAGCCGGCGTGCCCTAGAGCCTATGCTCGGCAACAAGAGAGGCCACTGCAATGGGAAGCTTTCAAACTGCAACTAGTGAGCAGCCTCTGCATGCCGCAACTAGAGAAAGTCCATGCAGCAACCAAGACCCAGTGCAGCAAAAAATAAACAAGTAAATGAAAAAAATTTTTTTAATTAATTTAAAATTTTTTAAAAGATGCTCTCAATATCCTCCTATCTTTTCCTCCGTTGCTGTTTTTATAGTGACTAGGACGTCATAGGCATCATAAGCAACATACAATTCCACCTCAATAAGCTTCAGCAGGTATAGGTTCAGAACACGTTGATGATAAAGGGTTTGTTATCCATTTTAAGTTTGGCGCCAAAACACCTTTCTCAGTAGATGGAGTAATGTTTCTGGTGACTTTCAAAGACAGATCTGTCATGTCAATTTCACAATTTCTAAACTGCTGTTACTTTGTCTGTGTCCATCTCAAGATCCAAAGACAGGCAGTTTTTACTGTGTATTTGCTATAAATTCAACTGTGATCGATCACTGTATGTGTGTTCAGTCAGTCATATCTGACTCTTTGTAGCCCTGTAGCCTATAACCCACCAAGCTCCTCTGTCCGTGGAATTTTCCAGACAATACTGGAGTGGGTTACCATTTCCTACTCTAGGGGATCTTCCCAACCCAGGGATAGAAACCACGTCACTTACATCTCTTGCATTGGCAGGCGGGTTCTTCACCACTGTGCCACCTGGGAAGCCCCACGATTTGGCACTAATGGAACAAAAGTGAACTTTAATTAACAATCCTTCCCTGACTCTAAAACACTCACTATTTTATCTATACTGCAGGATGTCCAGCACAACGAATGGTACATTGGAGAATACAGTCGCCAGGCAGTGGAAGAGGCGTTAATGAAGGAGAACAAGGTAATGGCTTCTCCAGGGCCTATTGCGTTATTTCAGTAGTCATCCTAGAGTTTTCTGCCCATAGATCACAGGTTGTAATTTCTCACTGCTGGGGAGGTTGTCACTGAAAACGGGTTTTCAAATAGTTTTAGATTTGAGACTTGGTTGTACCACTTATCAGCTGTGTGACTTTCTCAAGTTCCTAAACATCTGTAAATGCAGGTTTCCTTATTTGTGAAATGAAAATAGTAAAATCAACCCTAAGGATCTATTTTGGAGACCAAATGTGGAGGCTAGGGTAGAAACGGAGGCTGAAATGGAAGGTGCCTTCCTTCTGCTTTGTTCAGGATTCATGTCCTTCCTATAGGTCTGCCCAAGGTACAGTTGGCTTTTTACCTCTCACTTCTTTAAGAAATAGCAGGGCTGATGAATGCTGTAATAGTCAGGGTGTGATATATTATGGTGTAGTAACAAACAGCCCCAAGATCTCAGTTGCTTAGCAAAACAGAACTGTACTTGTCTCTTGAACTTCATGATCAAGACAGGTTTGGGTGGGTAGACCCCAACTGCTAGAGGCTCCATCTCAGTGTATGCTCGCTCACACCAATCAGGCACTGGCTTTCAACACATTCTCTCAAATATAACATGCTGCATCTCTGGTCACATTTCATTGGCCAGACTAAACCACATGACCAGACTCAACTTTAAATCAAGCGGAAACGTGTGAAAAAAATAAAAAGGTTCCAAAGCTACATGTGGTCAAAAAAAGAGAGGACCTACCTGGAATAACTGGGATCAGATCAAATCACTACTATAACCATCATCACAAATAGAAAATAGTTGCTAAGCAACTAACTCTACTATGTGCAAGAACTAGAATAGATTGTTTAGAAGTGACAGAAAGGCTCTCAGGACCAATGGAACATCAAAACTTATCCTCAGCTAACCAATACAATTGTATTGTTAAGTGAGGAAATATAAAACTGAATGAGTTAGTTAATTAGCAGATGGGTGAATAAATGACAGGTTCCCAATAAATTTTAATAAAACTTAGCTCTCAGAATTTATATCATTAAATTATTAATACACATTATATATAATTATATAATAAATAATATGTTGGTATCAAATTACTAAGTTAAATTATATGTAAGTTGCTAGGGTAAACAGAATAATGCTCCTCCCACCACGATATATCCACATTCTAATCCCCAATATCTGTGTCTCTGTCACCTTATATGGAAAGAAAGTTTGCAGATGAAATTAAGTTAGGAATCTTGAGATAGGGAAATTATTCTGGATTATCAGGGAAGGTTGACTATAATCACAAGGGTCCTTAGAAGAGGGAGACAGGAGGCTCAGAGTCAGGCCTAGAGAGCAACAAGGCAAGCACTGGTGGCAGCTTCTAGAAGCTGCAAAAGGCAAGAAGATACATTCTCCCCTAGTATCTCTAGAAGGAACACAGTCCTGCTGGCACTTTGATTTAAACCCAGTGAGTCCCGTATCAAACTTCAATCCCCAGAACTGTAGGAGAATAAATTTTTATGTTAGTCCATTGAGGTCACACAAATTTGTTATAGTAGTAGTAGGAAATTAATACATCTGATAACAAAGTATCCTGAATGTATTAGGAGTTGGCAAAACTATCTCATTCTCTAGATAAGGAAACCGAGGCTAAGGTTTCAATTACAAGGTGGAGAAAGTGGCAGAACCTGTATTAAAGATCAGTGCTGTTTTCAAAAGATCACAGAGGCCTCTAGCAGGCACTGTAGTTCTTTATTTTCTAGAAGGGACTAGAAAGGACTCATAGGTGGCTGGGTGGTGCTTACCTCGAGGACTCTCTCTTCCCTCTCCCCGAGGAATCCCACGCATGGCTGACCTCTGCTGGGTCTAATGGTGGCATAGTTGTGCCAGCTCCAACCCTGTCTCTTCTTGGCTAATCAACCATCACACGCCCTGAGTCTCCTTCCCAAGAGAAAACTAGCTCTTAGAAGACCTACTTGCAGGAGCCCCTTGTGTGGATGGTGCTAGACGCGCAGCATACATTGCCGTATAATGTCCTTCCAGCTACATGTAGGCATTTCCAAGGCTCCCGTCCCTCCCCTCCATGTGCCTGTTTCCCAAAAAGCATTGAGAAAACAGAATCTCAGTTGAATGACTTCATATTTTCCTACTTGGTTTGTCTCAGTTTTGTCAAAACATGTTTCCCATTTATGTAAGATAATTTATTTCAAATTGCAGGGTTGCCCGCATTCACTGTGACAAACTCATTGCCGAGTGTTAAATGATAAACCCCCAAACCAGCCACATGTCTTGGCCTCCTCTCCCTTTCTAATCTTTGGCTATGTTCTGTGCTTGAGTCTTAAGGCTTTAATTATGGCTGAATGTTTTTGGCAAAACAGGTTCCAGAAAATTCCTTAAACTCACATTATGCACTTGGAGATTGGTGTATTTATAGCAAGAATGTGGCCTTGGCCTTTTGGTATTCCGTTGATTAGCTGTGATGTGTCAGGGGATCCACTTAGATAATTAGAACCTAATTCCCTTACCTGTAAAATGGGGATAAAACACCTCCTCAAGCCTTATATAAGGATCAAATGAAATGTGTATAAAGTGCTTGGCATCTTGAGAGAAGTTTTCAGTAAACCTTAGCTGCCAGCATCATGACATCACTATAGTTTTATAGTATTATTTATAAATTTAATATATTTATAGTGTTATTACAGAGTATTATAATCATTATTATATATGCATGTATATAATATCTATAAACATATAGCTATGAAATATAGTTGATAGAGGAGATAATTACAAATATAAATTATCATATATAATACCTATCATATAAAGAATGCATAGTACTGTACATACTTGACTAGATCTACTCTACAGATTATTTATAACTACATATCCAAGAATCGATGCAATTGCAGCTAAAGATTTTTCAGTGTTTTTCCTCATATAACTGACATGATGTAGCCACAGAACTAAGCCTTATATGTGTACCTGTTCAGGAAGATTGCTCCATTTCTTAGCCTTTTATGACCAGACCTTCATCCTGAGCTACTCCCCAGGGTGTGCCTGATTATTTGATATTATATTTATAGCTTGTCTACTTACAGCCTTCAGACCATTTCACACTGTTGGCCTTCTTTTGGAAACCTCCACTGTCTGCCCTCGGCTTCCGTGACACTGACGCTTCTGAGTTTCAGTCCATCTCTGAGACATCAATTTGGAGTGTTTTGTTGTCTCCTCTTCTTTGCCCTGCACTTCCTGTCACCTCAGCCCAGGCTCTATTTTCTATTTCTCCTTCATAAAGTCTTGCCACTCACTTTGACGTCAGTCACTGAAGCCATCTCCCCATGCGGAGGATCGCCGTCAATGCTCAAATCCTCTCTCACTCAGAGCCTGCGGTGGTTCCCACCGTCTCTAGAATAATAGCCTAAACATTAACAGAAAAGGAAATGCATGAACCTTGGCAGATGGAGGCAAGCAACCCCAGAGAGGGGAGGAAAGGGAAGTCAGAGGGGGCGGCTTATGCAAACGCTAAGAACCTGAAAGCAAGATGGTGCCCCTGGGAAATGGTAGCTTGACCAGCACCATCATCCCAAGGCTGGAGGCTGCAGGAGTGACCGAGATAAGACTGCAGGAGAGTCTGGTACCTTGGTCCGTGAACATCATGTTATAGTGGTAGGCAAGGCACTGAGGACAGCGGGGGATGTTGGAAGATTTGGAAGAAGAGGGTGTTGTGATCTGACTGGTGCACTTCTCACGAAATAACAACAACCCCTAGACACGTTGTTCAGTCGCTCAGTCGTGTCTCTTTGCGACACCATGGACTGCAGCTCTCCAGGCTTTCCTGTCCTCACTATCTCTTGGAGTTTGCTCAAACTCATGTCCATCAAGTCAGTGATGCCATCCAACCCTCTCATCCTCTGTCACCCCTTCTTCTCCTGCCATCAATCTTTCCCAGCATCAGGGTCTTTTCCAGTGAGTTAGCTGTTTGCATCAGGTGGCCAAAGTATTACAGCTTTAGCTTCAGTCCTTCCAATGAATATCCAGGGTTGATTTCCTTTAGGATTGTAACCTTCAGTAAACACCTACTGAATTAAATTGAATAAAGAACTGGCTTGCCAAAAACTAAAGCCACTTGGGGATCTCAGGCACACAGACTTCACTGCTGTGCCTGTTGGGAGGGTGGATTCTGATTATACTACCCGTGAAGATCATTGTTCTTCCTTTTGCTTCAGGATGGCACCTTCTTGGTCCGAGACTGCTCTGCAAAATCCAGGGCGGAGCCCTACGTGCTGGCGGTGTTTTATGGGAACAAAGTCTATAATGTGAAAATCCGCTTCCTGGAGAGGAATCAGCAGTTTGCCCTGGGGACAGGACTCAGAGGAGATGAGGTGGGTGTAAGCCAGTGGCTTCTCTTTTGCAGGCAAAGGACAGCAATAAGGGGAGCCCTGAAGGAGTTCACAGGGATTCTCTAGTGGCTCAGACTGGAAAGAGTCTGCCTGCAATGTGGGAGACCCAGGTTCGATCCCTGGAGAAGGAAATAGCAACCCTCTCCAGTATTCTTGCCCGGAAAATCCCATGGATGGAGGAGCCTGGTGGGCTGCAGTCCTTAGGGTCGCAAAGATTTGGACACAACTGAGCGACTTCACTTTGGGAGGTGCTGGCTGAGACACTTCCAAATCTCCATGATTGCAGAATCTCAGGAGAGCCGCCCTGGAGGTACAGAATGTAATCTAATCCTTCCAGCCCCTTCCATAAGCATCCTCGCCCATGTCTTAGCTCACAGGACCTGCAGCCAATCCTGACGTTTCCATGCACCCTCTCTCCTGCTTGGCCCATTAAAGAAAACTCATTCTTAACACACATCTCCGTCCTACCTGGCAGGAATCCTTCCCTGAGACCCATGTTAATGCCACACTCCTTCCCCACTGAGTGCTGAACTCACACTGCAGCCATTCTGGCGACATCCCCAGTATTGGCATTAGGAATCAGTATGTGTGTGTCCCCACACTGATCGTGGGCTCAGTCACTGCATCCAGTGCTACGCTGAGTGTGACCAAGCTCGATACACGCCTGCTGAGAGGCGGCTAGGTGCAAGAATGACTCTATTAAAGCATTCATTAATAACTGAATAAATAGAGCAGAGAGAAAAGGGAAAGGAGATTGATTTCTGCTGTGTTTATGCTAGGCCTGGTCTGTCTGAATTATCTTATTTTAACCCTCAACAGCTCTTTGATAGAACAGTGGTTCCTATCTTAGACGTAGGAAAACTGAGGCTTAGAAAATTAAGTCGAGGGCTGGAGATGCACAGGTGGTGAGGGAGCAAAGAGAAGCTGTTCTTTCAACTCTTCTGGAAGGAAGGTAGGAAGGAGGGAGAGAGGGAGGGAGGAAAGAGAAGGCAAGACAGGGTTCAAGTTCTATCACCACATACTAAGAGTGTAAACTCAGGCCAGTCACTTCACTTCTCTGGGCTTTCAGTTCAGCTCAGTTGTTCAGTCATGTCCAACTCTTTGTGACCCCATGAACTGCAGCACGCCAGGCCTCCCTGTCCATCACCAACTCCCAGAGTCCACCCAAACTCATGCCCATCGAGTCAGTGATGCCGTCCAACCATCTCATCCTCTGTCATCCCCTTCTCCTCCTGCCCTCAGTCTTTCCCAGCATCAGGGTCTTTTCAAATGAGTCAGCTCTTCACATCAGGTGGCCAGAAGTATTGGAGTTTTAGCTTCAACATCAGTCTTTCCAATAAACACCCAGGACTGATCTCCTTTAAGATGGACTGGTTGGATCTCCTTGCAGTCCAAGGGACTCTCAAGAGTCTTCTCCAACACCACAATTCAAAAGCATCAATTCTTTGGCACTCAGATTTCTTTATAGTCCAACTCTCACATCCATACATGACTACTGGAAAAACCATTGCCTTGACAGGATGGACCTTTGTTGGCAAAGTAATGTCTCTGCTTTTTAATATGCTGTCTAGGTTGGTCATAACTTTCCTTTCAAGGAGTAAGCGTCTTTTGATTTCATGGCTGCAATACCATCTGCCATGATTTTGGAGCCCAAAAATATAAAGTCAGCCACTGTTTCCACTGTTTCTCTGGGCTTTAAGTTCTGTAAATGTTCTTTGGAAGTCTTAACTTTTGTAATTCGGTGATTCTCATGTACCCCCTCAGCTTATCTGTCAGTATATGTTATAGGCTGAATTGTGGCCCCCTTCCAAATTCCTATGTGACAATTCTAGCCCCCAGCACCTCCGAATGTGACCGTATTTGCAGACAGGGTCTTTTTGTTTGTTTTTGTTTTCTTTATTTATTTCGACTGCATCAGGTCTTAGTTGAGGCGTGTAGGGTCTTTTGTTGCGGCACACGGCCTCTTTAGTTGGGCACATTTGCTCCAGAGCATGCAGACTCAGTAGTTGTGGTCGTCAGGCTTAGTTGCCCCGTGGCATGTGGGATCTTAGTACCCTGACCAGGGAGCAAACCCATGTCCCCTGCATTGCAAGGAGGTTTCATAACCACTGGGCCACCAGGGAAGTTCCCTAGAGATGAGGTCTTTAAAGAGGTGACTAAGATAAAGCGAGGTCACTAGAGTGGCCTCTGACCCCATAGGCCTGGTGTCCTTATGAGAAGAGGAGATTAGGACATAGACACACACAGATGTGTGGTCACAGAGAGAAAGGGGACATTTCCAAGCCAAGGAGATAGGCCTTAGAAGGAACCAATCCTGCCAACACTTTGATCTTGGAATTCTAACCTCCAGATCTGTAAGAAAATGAATTTCCATCATTTAAGTCCCCTGCCACCCTAGTCGGTGGTACTTTGTTGTGGAAGCCCAAGAACACTGGTACAGTCGGAATCCAGAACTGTCACACAAACACCGATTGTTCTTCAATAGATATCAAGATGACTGTTGCCAAGGCTGCCAAAATGCTTCAGGAAGGCATGAGTGTGGACACTCCAGCTTAAACCCAGTGCCTGACCCAGGGCACTTTTCTGAGAATCACACATGGCTGGAGGGGGTGATCCGCACTGGTTAGGCCACCATGGGGTCATTTCACCAGACTCTGCTCCAGCCTGGGAAAGTTCTGGCATGAAGGAGAACATGAGTGAATAAATAAACTAATACATAAATAAATCTTCCAAATATTGCCAAATAAGAAAGGGATCAAAAGATCAAATTGCCAACATTCAATAGATCATGGAGAAAGCAAAGGAGTTCCAGAAAAACATCTACTTCTGCGTCATTGACAACATGAAAGCTTTTGACTGTGTGGATCACAATGAACTGAGGAAAATTCATGGAAAGATAAAGCGAGGTCACTAGAGTGGCCTCTGACCCCATAGGCCTGGTGTCCTTATGAGAAGAGGAGATTAGGACATAGACACACACAGATGTGTGGTCACAGAGAGAAAGGGGACATTTCCAAGCCAAGGAGATAGGCCTTAGAAGGAACCAATCCTGCCAACACTTTGATCTTGGAATTCTAACCTCCAGATCTGTAAGAAAATGAATTTCCATCATTTAAGTCCCCTGCCACCCTAGTCGGTGGTACTTTGTTGTGGAAGCCCAAGAACACTGGTACAGTCGGAATCCAGAACTGTCACACAAACACCGATTGTTCTTCAATAGATATCAAGATGACTGTTGCCAAGGCTGCCAAAATGCTTCAGGAAGGCATGAGTGTGGACACTCCAGCTTAAACCCAGTGCCTGACCCAGGGCACTTTTCTGAGAATCACACATGGCTGGAGGGGGTGATCCGCACTGGCCAGGCCACCATGGGGTCATTTCACCAGACTCTGCTCCAGCCTGGGAAAGTTCTGGCATGAAGGAGAACATGAGTGAATAAATAAACTAATACATAAATAAATCTTCCAAATATTGCCAAATAAGAAAGGGATCAAAAGATCAAATTGCCAACATTCAATAGATCATGGAGAAAGCAAAGGAGTTCCAGAAAAACATCTACTTCTGCGTCATTGACAACATGAAAGCTTTTGACTGTGTGGATCACAATGAACTGAGGAAAATTCATGGCCATACACCTTACCTGTCTCCTGAGAAATCTGTATGAAGGTCAAGAAGCAACAGTTAGAACCAGACATGAAACAACTGACTGGTTCAAAGTTGGGAAAGGAGTATGACAAGGCTTTATATTGTCACACTGCTTGTTTAACTTATATGCAAGTACATCATGTGAAATGCTGGGCTGGATGAATCACAAGCTGGAATCAAGATTGCCAGGAGAAATATCAACAACCTCAGATATGCAGATGAAACCACTTTAATGGCAGAAAGTGAAGAGGAACTAAAGAGCCTCTTGATGAGGGTAAAAGAGGAGAGTGAAAAAGCTGACTTCAAAGTCAACATTAAAAAGACTAAGATCGTGGCATCTGGCTCCATCACTTCATGGCAAATAGAAGGGGAAAAAGTGGCAACAGTGACATTTTATTTTCTCAGGCTCCAAAATCACTGCGGACGGTCACTGTAGCCATGACAGTAAAAGATGTTTGTTCCTTGGAAAGAAAGTTAAGACAAATCTAGACAAAATAATAAATAGAGACATCACTTTGCTGACAAAAGTCTGTACACTCAAAGCTATGGTTTTTCCAGTAGTCATGTACAGATGTGAGAATTGGATCATAAAGAAGGCTGAGTGCCAGAGAATTGATGCTTTTAAACTGTGCTGCTGGAGAAGACTCTTGAGAGTTTCTCGGAATACAAGGAGATCAAACCAGTCAATCCTAAAGGAAATCAACCCTGAATATTCATTGGAAGGACTGAGGCTAAAGCTGAAGCTCTAGTATTTTGACCAGCTGATTCACTGTAAAAAAAAACAAACCCTGATGCTGGGAAAGATTGAAGGCAAATGGAGAAGGGGGTGGCAGAGGATGAGATGGTTAGATAGCATCATTGACTCAGTGAACTTGAAATTTGAGCAAACTCCTGGAGATATAGTGGAAGACAGAGGAAACTGGCATACTGCAGTCCATGGGGTCACAGAGCTGGACATGACTTAGCGACTGAACAACGAAAACAAAGGGTTACAGCAAAACTAAAAAGAGGATTTGCAACCATTTCCTTTTGTGATGAGGATTAGTGAGTTAATGAATGTCAAACACTAAGAACACTACCTGGGACATATCAATAAGTGTTTGTTATTATTATTTTTTATTATTCTGACTGGGTCATGGTGATAACTAGGACATAGTTCCCCTTAGGTCCAGATAGGGTGTGCATGCTCAGTCATGTCTGACTCATTGTGACCTTATGGACTGTACAGCCCACCAGGCTCCTCTGTCCATGGAATTTTCTAGGCAGGAATACTGGAGTGAGTTTTCATTTCCTGCTCCAATGGATCTTCTCAAGCCAGGGATTGAACCCGCGTCTCT